GCAACACCATCATCCAAGGATTTAGTTACTTGGTCGTAAAAGGCAATCAGGTTGGTCTGGCAGGACCTGCCTTTGGTGAACCCATGCTGATTGCCCCTGAGCATGATCTCCCCTTGTGGTCATGATTGACCACAAGATGAACATGAGCCTGCAATGCGATGCTGCAGCTAGTAAAGCGACCAAAAGGCTGGCTTGCATCCATAGATGCTTCTCGAGCAAATCCAGGGACGTCATTCTCCCCTTGTACTCGGCCTTGGTGAGTTGGCTTTGGTGAGGCTGCAGCTGGAGTACTGCGTCCAATTTTGGGCTCCACAATTCAAAAAGGATGTGGAGAAGCTTGTGAGGGTGCAGAGGAGAACCACATGCATGATCAGAGGTCAGGAACACAGACCTTACAATAAGAGGCTGAGAGCCATGGGACTCTTCAGCCTGGAAATGCACAGGCTCAGGGGCAATCTGGTGACCACCTATAAGTGTATCAGAGGTGCATCAGGATCTGAGGGAATGTCTGTTCACCAGAGCGCCCCAAGGGATGACAAGATCAAACTGTCACAAACTCCACCGTGACCGATTCAGGCTGGACATAAGGAAGAACGTCTTTACTGTCCGAGCCCCCAAGGTTTGGAGTAGACTGCCGCTGGAGGCAGTTCAAGGACCCACTTTGAACACCTTCAAGAGACATTTGGATGCTTACCTTGCTGGGATCCTATGACCCCAGCTGACTTCCTGCCTCTGGGGCAGGGGGCTGATCCTCCGGGGTCCCTTCCAGCCCAAATATCTATAAAATCTATGATACTCTGACACTATTAGAAGCACCAAAATGATGGGCACTGGTCGGTGTTGATGCTACTAATACCACAACAGTGACTGCAGTGTACTTAAACGCTGCTTACATTAAGTGTGTGTGGGTGCGTCTACATGAGAGGTTTGCTGCACGGTAGACTAATTACCTGCACAGTAAATGTCATGCATTGACATGTGCATCCGTATTAAGCTGGAGTAAATTAATTTAATCTGCAGCAGGATAGTACTTGTAAATACTAGTAAAAAATGCCGCACGTTTGAGGCTGCCATGGCTGGCTGGGGCACGAGGGTGTTTCAGTGCAGGGGCTGCCTGCCAACTAGCCCCATGCTGAAGCACCCTTATGCCCCAGTCGGCCCCTCCACAGCACGTTGACCCAGCGGGGAGCAGCCCTGGGCTGGCAAGCTGACCCCTGGGGCTCCCTGCCAGCTGCAGCTGCTTTGATCCAGCTCAACGTGCTGTGGTCCCAGGTGTACGTGCAAACGGCACACCCAAGAGCAATAAGCTCCAGAGTTTATTTCTTCACATCAGTATGCACATGTAGATGTACCCTGTAAGTGCATATTCTGTATATGTGTGTAGGCTTTTCTAATCCCAAGGTTAAGAAGTGGCTGGGGAGTCCGATTTCCCTAGACCACTTCTTATTCTGGAAATGTGGGTCTGATCAATTCAAACCTGTTATTTACCTATTTTCCTACTAACACATCAGAGTTAATCTGAAATGTGGATGAGAATAAGATTTCTGATTCATCTGAGTTCTCTTTCCTCTTTGTAGTCTGTCTCATGTATACTACGTATGTAGTCACCAGAGCTGGTACAGCTTTGTCTAGGAAAAAAATTGAACAATGTGTATGTTTTTTCCAGACTGTCAGGGCTCAAAGCGCTGGACAATTTGCTGCATGCCAGGCTTGTTCATAATAGCCCTTTGAAATCATTCCCTCAAACTCAGAAGTCACCACCCACCTACACACACACTTTCTGTTTATTCTACTCTCTCCATCCTCTCCTTTAAATTAGGTTTGTCTTAGTTAGGAAATACTGCTCAGCTTGTCATCCTTCTGCTAACCTTTATTCATCTCTTTCCTTCATTCTCCCTGCTTCCATTTGGTCAACCTCTTGTACCCTGAGCTTAAATATAGCTTGAGTCTTTGTCAGGACCTTCATCACAAGGCCATCTTAGGTCATTCTTCTTCTCAGAACATCTTTAATTTTGTCCATAAAACCCATGTCTTTTTGGCTACCTCTCCAGAGCTGACCTCTGCTCCTCCCTCCTTTTTGCCTTCATTTATTTTCAAATTTGATAAATGTAGAGCCTGATACAATGCAGGTATTGCAGGTGAAAACCTATTCCACGTACCATTAGGACTTTAATCCGCTTCCATCAAAACTGATACTGGTCACATTTTGGAAACTAGTTCGGAAGAAGACTGGTAAAAAGTCAAAACAGGTGCATTAGAGTTTGGATTGTCTCTCCTGATATAGTTCAGACTTACTCTATAATGTATTTTAAGTACAAGTTTATGTCTGAATTACATTTCCACTATGTTGCTGTATATGGGATTATATATGAATGTGGGGACGACACTTTTCACTTCTCTGCTTGAATTGCTGCTACATTTCTTGCTTTTCTTTTTAAATCCTAAAGCAGGTTTGAACTCATTTGATTTGAGGACTGACAGTAGGAACACACCTCTTAATCCTGTGTGTTTTGAATCTTTTCTTCAATGGGATTTTATATGCCAGTCATTCCAGCAATTCGTTACTTTTACAATGTGCATCTGGCATGTATTTCAAAAAATCAAAGTCCAATTTGGGCAGACACCCCACCACTTTTTGCATAGACAGGACTTAATTTTTATTCAGGAGCGAACTTTTGTGTGGAACTTTTCTCGTGTGGAGTAAAGTTGCTAAAATCAAGTTATTTTGTGAATGACATGCAGACAAGTATATCGAAGAACATGAGAACAACATTGTCCCTCCCTATTCATGGTACTTTGTGTTCCTCTTTGTTTTATATAAATTCCAGAACATAATATTCATAGTACATACTAATTTCTTTAGATCCATCCTTGGGCAAATCCAAGAAAGCTGGATGAGGACACAGAAATTGTTCATAGACTTTGAGTATGAACTTTAGACAAGCATACAGAATTTGGGTGGCAGGTTTTGTAGTTTATTTTAATGCCCTGGCATGTAGCAAATGGAAAAGAGAGGTAGAGATGAGAACTAACAAAACGGAAATTTCTGGTGAGTTAGGTAGAGAAAAGTGTGGCATGTCCAACATGCTGCAATGTGAACCTGCATGGCCTTTTATGTGGGGAACAGTCAACCCAGTAGCCTCTGGATGCCCAGCAGAGCTCCCTTTCCACCTACTCTCCTAATCGAAGCCAGGAGCCGTGTACATTTTTGCAAATGGAAGGAAGAAGTTATCATAATAGATTACATCTCTGAACATCAGCTCATTATTTGGTCTGCTGTTCAGAACATTTCACTCAGCCCACTCATCCGTCGTCACCGTAATTCATAAAGCGCAGTTTCTCTGGGAAGTCAACTTACTACCGCTGTTACAAGTATGTATTTGAAACGCCTCTCGTGGCCTCGGCCGTAATTGCTGGTGTGTTTTCCAGGTTGCTTGAGGATGAAATCGAACAGCTTCACGACCACCTTCGAGAGGTCACAGATGAAAACGGCAGACTGTACAAACTGGTGAAGGAGAGGGACTTTGAAATTAGGCAGCTCCAAAAAACAATAGGGGAGGAGAGATTGGCCTTGTCAGGTAAGCAGGACACATTCATATCCTTAAAACGACAGTTTGATAGGCCATAGGAATTATAGAGAAGTAGGGCGGGAAGGGACCTCCAAAGGTCGTCTTGTCCAGCTCCCTACCCGTGGCAGGATCATTCCTATCTAAACCATCCTGTACCATCCATAATCTAAGCTTTTAGTAAAACTACCATCAGCCCTGACACAACACATGAAATAACACCCTAACCTGCCACAAGTAAAGCAGGGAGACCACAGCAGCCAATGTTATTAATATACGCTCAAGTGATCCCAGGTCAGGATCCCAGGTATGCAAACCCCACCACAGTCTGTACCAGTTTGGCCATGGGGTAAAATTCCTTGCTGATCCCAAATATGGCACTAGGTCTGACCCTGAGCCTCTAGCAGGAACTGCATTTGCTTGCTAGTAAAAACAGGATTTTGTATGTGGATAATGCTAATAGTTTGTAGTGCACTTAGATAATGAAATATTCACTTATCTTTCCATGTGCTGCTTGCTACAGCTTCTGCCTCTTTTAACTACACTACAGCGCTTGAAAGCCTTCCTGCAGGCCTGATTTTCAGAGGCGCTGAGCCTCTGAATCTCCCGTGACGTTTTTGAATGTGGGGCACTCAGCCCTTCCGAAAATCATGTCCTGTAGCATTATGACTGTCATAATTCCCTGATGCTGATATTGAGGAGAGAATAAGGCTTGCAGGCCTAGTAAACAAAGCCATTTATAAAAATACTGCAGTTTCTGAGGCTGTCTAGAGCTGTCCTCTCTCATGTTCCCTCGGCTGTGTCATTTGAGCATCCTATTAAATTCATCCATTTAAACTGATGAGGCCACAGCCTCTTAAATTTGCTTTTCCATTATTTTCTGTTGTGTTCCTCATCACTCCAGGGACTGGACAGGCCGAGGTTTGAAACCATGTACAAGTTTCTAAATGGTACTTGTGCCATGGTAAGGACTCCTGTGTTTGACAGCTTAGCCAAACTTCTTCCACGAGATGTCAGTGTTGCCCAATATACCAGTGATGGTGGGGAAGGGAGGGAAAGGATAAGAACAGTAGTAAGCAAAACTGAATGATGGATAAATTATAGCTCTGTGTTTTATTATTTCCATCAGACATCTGAGAGGGATAGTGTGGTATAAGGGTTAAAGCTAGGCTGTTAGGAAGCAGGAATCACAATTTTTGTTTCTGCCTCTGAAACAGCCTCCCAGGGCAGCTTTGTGCAAGTCACCCTTTGCTTCACTTTTCCCTCTCTGTAATCCTGAGATGATGATCCTCCCCTGTTTCTCAGGAAAACCCCAAGCTTTAATTAATGTGAGCATTGCAGTCTGAGACTCTCACATGCAAGTGCTGTTTCTGATTAGTATTGATTATAAGAATTACCACTACCATGATTTATCATGGAAAGAAGTACTGGCTCCCAGAGGAGAAAGGAAATACTGCACCCTCTGCAAGAAACAAGGATGGTGCAGATACTTTCTTTATCATACATTACCTTTTTTGCAAAGATTTTTATGTGGTAATGAGGCAAAAATCTGCCCCGGCCCACAGTCTGCATGGCCCTTTGAAGTGACTAGGGCTGTGCTGTCCCCAGTAGTTGCGTAAGAGATGTAGTATTATGTGGATACTTAGCACTTCATCCAAATTCTCACAAATCCTGGTAAAAAGCTCTTCCAATAAATGTACAGCATTAGCAAAAGGGTAGACCACTAATAGCACCACTTAGTTTAAATCCCTATATACCATATACAGATTTATTCCTAAGGTTTGTCACTGCATCCCCAGAGAAACTGTCATGAGTTAGGACCTTTTCTCACCCAGGTGATATGACAAAGGCCAAATGGTGTACAAGCCTGACACAGTGGTTACATTATCCAGCACATTAATGAAGCCACCTGTGGCAGGGAAGTGATTAAAACATCTATTTAAGAAGGCAAAGTAGCATTCAGTGGCTATTAAGATTCCTTTTAAAAGTGCAGTGGAAGTCTTAAGTGGGCATGGTATAATTTTCCAGTTAGATATTATCCAGGACACCAGACTCAGCAATATATCCATCCCTTTAGCAGAGTGAAGGCATCTTGCAAAGCTAAGATCTGTGTTTCAGCAGCTGCTCCAGTGCCAACATGCCAGCACAGGCAGTGCTTTGGCACTTTTACCAGGTCATGTATATATACTTGGGAACAGACTTTCATAGTGGGAAGGTCAAAACACCTGTGCCTTGCTCACATTTGTGCTCACACCATTGCTTCTACTTGGGTAGCTGGATCCATGCCAGCAATTTCTGAAATGAGGTGGGTAATTTGCTGGTTTTCCTGACCATAAACTTGCAAGGACCACTGCTTTGTGCTGTGCACTGATGGACCCAGCACCGCAATGCCTGCAACACCAGTGGTTGTAAGCTAACTCAAAGAGCTGAATGACCCAAATGGCATCATTAACAACTCTCTCCCTCTAGCTACCCACTCTCCAGACAGTTGTTCTTGGCACAGATCTGAGAAAGGGAGGCTAAGCCATAAAAATACAGCTTCCCATAGGCACAGAACAAAAGCATCAAGCAATCTGATTCTTGCACCTAAGCTGTTCCTCCATTTACTACCTTTTTGTTTTCTCAGGAACATCTGGTTTAGCAGGGGATATCGCAGCTACTAAAATAGTTGAACTGTCCAAAAAGAATCGCGAGCTAACCGCTGAGACCGAGAGTGAAAAAGCCAAAGTGAAACAGCTGAATAACAGAGTCAAAGAGCTGGAAAGAGAAGTGAGGCATCTTTTTTTTGTCATAGCAGAACTGTGAAATTGCACCAGTAGCTTTCTGAGGGTAGCTTCCTCTTGGAGAAGCCATGTGTTTGAGTCAGGTGGCTACACCCAGCTTGTTACAGCACCAGGTCTTACTGTGAGTGTTTTCCATCTCTGCCCGTGGCGGGATAGATGGACTCACTCTCTTCACAGTGTCCATGCGCAATGGAAGAAACAGTGGCAGAAAGGTGGGAATAAATATAACAAGCCAACAATTTGCGAAATGCCAATCATCAGAAAAGGCAATCGGGAGTTGTAGGAGAGATTTATTAGACCCACAAGATTTTTGCAAAAAAAAAAAAAAGTCTTTAATTGCAAGCTTTCGGGCACAAACACCCTTCATCCGGCATTGGAGAAAAGATTGTAAAAGTTTTCCTGGGTAGAAATGAAATCATCAGAAATACAAATATGTATCTGAGAACGCAGCTGCTTGTCCCTGGCGATCACAACAGCAGTGTTGTAATGATATTTTCTCAGTTATCTGGCAGTCTGTATCCCAACCTCTACATTTATCGTCATCACAGAAGTGCCAGTCAGGGCTTAGGGCCCCACTATACTATATTCTGCTCGTGTGCACAGTCGGATGCAGTCTACATGCGTAACAGCTTCCAGTGTAAATAGGAGGGCCAAGCAAAGGGTGGGAGGGAAGTGAAAGCACAGAGAGGTGAGTGATTTACCCGAACCCCACAGCAGTTTAGTGGTAGACCTGGGATTCTCATCTCCTACCTAATGCTCAATTCTGTAGGCCATCCTACTGTCTACATCACCCTTCCTAAAAGGTTTCCCACAGGTCTCAATTCATCAAGCAGATAATCAAGATAATAAGCTAATCCTGGTGGGGTCATACAGTTTCCACTTTGCCCCTTCATTTTGCACTCTGATTGTGTTTCCCCTTGCAATTTGTTGTCCATAGCTCTCCCCTCAGTAGGCAGGAGGGAATTAGATTAGATGAGAGGAGTTCTGCACTCCAGCAAGCAGGAATAATTAGTGAACGGTGCCAACTATCACCTGCTTTCAGAGGCTGAAAACAGAATTAAGCCCTTTAGCTCTAGCCAAGCTACAGAAGAGGGATTTCAGAATGATGCCAGAGCCTCAGCCAGGGGGTGAAGCTGCAGGTTTTCATCTTAAAATGCCTTTGGAGTCATTGAGCTAGCACATCTTTCAGCGTACACTGCAAGATTTTTCTGTGAAATGGGGGGATTGGACTTCAAAACCTACATTTTACTAAACAGGGTCAAATATGGGAGCCTTAAAAGTATGTCAAATCCTGATCTTCATTGGACTTTATCTATGTTTAGAGGCAAAAACATAGATGCCTGTTTTGTGAACGTTGTCCCATTGGAAACATCCCTCAAGGCTTGCCAACTAATCCCACGATTCCAAGCCAAAAACTAGCTATTCTTTTCACAGTAAAATAACCCAGCCTGTCTCAGCAAAGATAGAACCGCAGGCATATTTATTTGAAAACTTAGCGGTAGATGAAGAGATTTTTGTTGGAATAAATCAAATCCATTTAGCCCATCAAAGCGGGTGGTGTTACACTTGCTGTTTACTCATTAAAATATAGCTGAATCATCTGCCATGGAAATATGCTTTGTTCGCTGCATGTACTCTCTAATGGGTGTTTGCTTTGGTCTTCTCCAGCTCCAGGCAGCCATGGGAAAAATCCAGTCTCTTGGCGGCAGTGACTCAGAAATCAAGCAATCAGCTCTGAGGATGACAGAAGGAAACCTGGTATGAGTTTTTCTTATTTGGAAAAATTCAGAAGTTTAACTAAATTTTGCTCTCATGTTGTGTAGCTTTTCTCCTCCTTTATCTTTGCCATTGGAGTTATAACCTCTCCTAATCATTCTGTATCCAAAAATCAGAGAGTGGGTTTTGAGGGATGATTATAGTATCAGAAAGGAAGAGTTTACTGACCTTATTGATTCACCTTCCCTCCCTCCCATGCTGCTGCCTTGAATTAAAACAAGCTCCTAAAACTTACCGGCTTCAATACTTGTCAAATGAGGCCTGATCTACACTTACCCGTGTTTGTAGAGTAGGCGACTGACTTTTTTCAAGTGTTTTGTGCATAAAAGAAACAAGAATTGTTCGTTTTTAAGATGTCCCTGTCGGAGTAGAGCCCTGGTTCGTTCTGGTTTCCTTTCAGTAATGCTACCCAGCTAAAGACCAACTCAACTAGAGAGGCTAGTGGAAGGATGGTAGAATAGTCATTGGAGAAGTAGGATAACTCAGACCTTAAAACTCAAGGCAGAGGTGCAGACTTCCTGGCTATATTTTGGGCTCTGTCATGGTTTGACTTTGTGGGATCCATAAACCACTGAACTGGTCTTAAAGGCCTTGCTACAGGGTAATTGTGGGCAGCTCCCGGAGCTCTTAATCCCTGGACTGTCTACACATTAACATGTTAAAGTGGTTTTAAGCACTCATTATGCAGCTCAAAGTTATGCCACTCCAGGGCAGGATTATCTCTGACCTGTACTATCCAGCTCCTGTTCCATTAAGGTGTAGCCACTGCCCACAGATGTGCCACCCAGTATCTCAGGATCTCTTAACTCTGTAAGTTGGATCTCTTCAACCCAGTAAGTTGAAGACCTCCAGTATCCCAAGATCTCTTGCACTGCCACCCATAGTTGCACTAGTGGCAACTCACAGCTACAGCTCCTAGTCCTGCCTCTGCTCACCAGGCCTCTAGTGGTAAGTCACAGCTGTGCAGGTAGGGGACAGTCAGAGAAGGTTTCCAGACTAACAGTGTTACTGCTCCAAACTCCAAGCTAACACCAATTACACCAAGGTGTAACAAAGCCCTAAGCCTCAGGTTCCCCATCTATAAAATGGAAGTAATAATAATTACCTGTTTCTCACTAAGTGTTGTGAGACCTCATCAATTAGTATTAGTAATGGGAATATAACCACTCCTATTTAGGAGTCACGAGTAAATTGATTGGGATCTGGAGGAATGCAGAGGTATTGCACCTTTGGAGAAGGGAATGTCTCTCAGTCTCCTAGAAACCCTGTGGGTTTTGAGAGAAGCTATTTCTGAACCATTACTGAACACCTGAGCTTTCCTCACTGTCACGTATTTTCCTTTGTGTGAAGTGGACTCTGTCCTTATCAAATCAGTTCTCCTTCTCTCCAAGCCTGACAGTCCAGAACTGAAAGCGGTGCAAGAAAAACTAAGTGCAGCCAACTTGAAGATGATGGACTATCGCAACCAGCTCCAGGCCACAAAACAGGAATTGAAGATGATGCAAAAGGTACGACTGTATATCTCATAATATTGTGGAGTATTGTGACCTGGGCCTAATTTCTGGAAGGGAGATGTACTTATTAAATGAAGACTAGCATGCTGCTTTCGCTTTTAGTTTTGAATGGCTTTTCTGGAAAATGTGAGAGATTAATAGCATTGGTTGGAATACAATGGTAAAGACACTGAAAATTTTTTTTAAAATAATGTTCTGCCATTGCATTTGTGTGTCTTTCTAATATTTGTATTGACTTCTTATGGCTCAGCAAGTCACAAAAACCTTAATTCAGCAAAACTAGTTAAACTGATGATTAACTTGAAGCATTTGCCTCAGCACATCCCTATTCAGCCGGCTTAAGTTGCATTGAAGTCAGTGGATTGTAAGCGCTTTGCTTAGCAGGGACTTTAGAATAACCTTTATTCTTTGATTCACTCCAGGTACCTAGTGCCTTTTTCTGTGCTCTTTCCCACATGAGGCAGCCTTTGACTTTGCTGCTTTGCATAAAAGACCTGCAATGCAGAGCAGAGACAAGAATTTTGTCCTAAAAATAGATCTCTGCTGACCTTTTAATAAATAATTGAAATGCATTTCATAATAACTGTAGCTCTTCTTCACGTGGCTGTCGTGGAATTGCGTAAGTCAAATACTGGCCCCCGGCTTAGTATTATACAGATTTGTGAGCTGCCAGCGTTTCCATTGGGCCCCTGATTTGTTTAGGTTAATGGCTGGTATACATCAGATAATTATTACATATGATGAAAGCTGTTAGTAATGATCACTAAAGGCCACAACCATGCAATATAATACGAACGCTTACTTACACTCCCTACCAGCAGTACAGGTTCGTATTTCACTGTAAGGACAGTTCCGGCATTTTTTGAATGGTTTCTTTCTACAGGAAAAAAGAATATACACATTTCTAAATATTTAATCGTATTTATATGCCTATTTCATAAAAAAATGTTGGTGCTTTGGTAACCAGTGAAAGCATTAATATTAGCCCAAATAAATCTCAAAGAATCTGCTCCATATGTGTTGAATAGGAGCTGCAGACACCCAAAGGATACAAATATGCATATAAACCCAGGCTTTTGTCATGGCTGATAGAAGGACCAGGTTTTCCACACATATTTGTAGCCTGGAAATATCATTAATATTCATTCATTATTTACAGCTTTTAGCAAGTGAAGTTGGTGAAGATGTGAATGTTCAAAATCTTTTGGCTACCTCCGGTACCTGGCGTGGACGGGCCCAGCAGATTCTTGTTCTACAAGGCAAGGTGAATTACTATCACAGGTCCTTTTCTTTAGCTTTATGGTATTCAGAGCTGAAAGCAAAATGCTGAGCATTTGCTCAAGCTCCTAGTTTTTCACAATTATGACTTTTCAGGAGGGTGCATTGTAAAATTCTGCTTGTCCATGTGCCCACAGTCAGGGAATGATTATTTCTGAGGAACAAGTAAAATGCCATCAGTCCTCTTGTTGTCAAAGACACGTACAAGTACCAAGAAATAAATGGTAGGACACTAAGCCGTAAGCCAGATCCTCCATTTGATTGTGCGTAGTGGGCTGTCTCTGACCTCAGCTGTAGCTATGCATGCGCAGCGAAGGCCATGCTTTAGCTCTGAATGTCTCTGCATCCTTTCCCCTAGGTTCGAGAGCTGGAGAATCAGTTGGGTCAGAGCAAAAGCAGAGCGTCGATGAACAGTATCGACGAGGAAATGTTGGCCTTTACAGATCCCCGGAAATTGTCAGCCCAGGAGAGAAACCTCCTCCGGATTCGCAGCTTGGAAAAAGAAAAGAGAGAGGCCTTGGAGGTAAAGATCTGTGAGCTGATACCAACCTGCTTGTAATACAGCTATGTAGTAACTGCTGCCCTTCCACCTGTCTCACCCACTTGCCTCTAAATACAGTCAGGCTCCCACTGTTCAGGGGTTGGGAAGCTAGTGGTATCTCTAAGAGGGTGTGAGGGAATGGCTAGAGCCATGGCAGGGGGAGGCACTAGCAGGGTTTAGCAGGATGTGCTTTCCCCGCAGCCAGTAGGTACAAAACCTCTGGCCCCCAGCACAGAGATCAAGTGCCTCCTTTCTCACCTCCCTACCACATGTCCAACCTGCAATAGGTATAACCAAGCACTGGGTCTTTGCATACCTCTGACTCACGGCAGTAAGGAGGAAGCAAGTGTTCAGCTGCCCACAGGCATGCACACACACACACACACACACACACACACACACACGACCAAATCCTGCTCTTACACCATCCTTGCTCTGGAGTAACTCCCCTGTTGTCCTCCTGTCTCAAGCCCCAGTCACAAGAGAGCTTTACTGAAGTGCTTCCAGATTTTTATCAACTCTTCTTCGGTTTGAAATCCAGCCATACGTCTCCTGCATGTGTGAAGTGAATAATGTATTTACATGTTGATACTCTGCACTGCTCAGAGGAGACTGTTAATCAAAAGCGCGTTCACTTGAATTATGATGCCAATGGCAGATCCACAACACACTGATTCTGGTCTTGACACACAATTATAATTTACTTCATTGCACGTACTTCATCTGCTTAGAACCATCTGGATTCCTGAGCACACAGACCTCTTGTGCAGCCACCAAGTGAGCACTGACTGCGGCGTGCAGTAGCATAACATTTACAGAGGGTGAGTCACTTCGACGGGCAAGGCAGTGCAAAGTTCTGGATTCTGCAGAGCTGCTTGTACGTCCTTGTATTCACCTGAGAGCAAGGAGCAGGTTGAATGGGCCACGATTAATCTCTTCCTTCATTTCACGTTATGTATTTACATAATTGCAGAAACTCACCGGGGAACATAGCGCTCTTCAGAAGGATCATGAAGACGTGAAAAAAAAACTGGATGCATCGAAAGCCAGGAACAAAGTGCTGTCCAATGAGGTGAAAACGCTGAAGGGGCAGATCCTGACCCTGCTGGAGAAAGGGAAGCATGATGATGAGCTCGTGGATGCTTTACTGGTACAGTCTGACTATTGCAGCTGATCCTAGATCTTTCAGGATCTATGCTTTCTCTAAAATTGAAGACATCTTACAGTGGGGTGACAAAACCATACCCTCAAGATGGCAAGGGGTCTGAAAAATCCAGGTTTAAGAGCGAGCCAGAGATTTTTGCATTTTATATTGATGCTGATGGGATTCTGAGATCAGCACAAAGGCTGACACACTTAGTGTCGAGAAGGCGGCTAGGAGCTGCTGCCGTGTTTACCCTCCCAGCCATGGCTACTGCCACCACTCACCCCACCACTACATCTGGATCCTGTCTGCAAAGAGCCCCACAGTCTGGATCTGGCCTCGGGGAGTTGGGTGAGATTGACACCCGTCTTAGAGAATTGCTGTAAAAAGTGGTCACGGTTTTGTCCTCTAGGGTAGAAGATGATGAGAATCAAGACTCCAAATTCTGTTCCCAGTTCCACTGACTCCTCGTGTGACAGTCGCAGATTATTTGGGTCAGGGTTTTTCACGAGTGCCAGCTAATTTTGTGCACTTTGTTTTCAAGTTACCCAGCTTGAGGCTCATAAAGCTTTGGCTCCGAGAGGTACTGAATCACCATTAGCTCCCACTTTGACCAGGTTCACACAATGCATGTGCAGCCGAGCTGGGAACAGAACATGAGGTCCTTTGCCTCAAGTATATCCACCTACCAAATAGAGCTAGCAATAGTACAGGCAGTCCTTAGACTTACAACACAATTGGTTCCTGAAAACTGCATCTTAAGTCGAAACACGAACCGATTTTCCCATAGGAAACAATGTTATAAATGGGGGATTGGTTCCTGAACCAAGGCCCCATACCCTATTTTCACCAAAAGTAACCTAGAATTCTGTACTCAATCAATTATGAATGAGTAATATTGCTACGTTAGTGTACTTATATTGTAAATAGCAATCATATTGATTTGGAAGGACTTCTTTGAGGTCACTTTGCTGGACTTTTTGAAAGGCCCTCGGTTGGACTTTTTGAAGGGTTCTTGGCTGGAGTCGTCTCAGGAGTCTCGGCTGCAGGTTTTTCTGACGTCTTGTCTGCTTTCTTAAAGAAAGGACATTTGGACAGACGTTCTCCAGGGAGATGGGCGACACAGTGAACTTGTTCGCTGGCGTGGCGTCGTATCGGCTCAAACGTTGTAAAGTCGAAACTGTCGTCCAAAAGTCGAAACAGGATGTCAATTTATAAACATTGTGAGTGCCGTTTGTTGTAACTTGAAACATTGTAAGTCGAGGACTGCCTGTACAGTGTTCATTCAGGGGCCATCCCTTTGCAGTATGCTCATTAAGGGGTAGTCCCAACTGGAGTCTTAGTATCACTTACTTAATAGCAATCACTTCAATTCTATCTGCATATAAGCTCTACTCACACTTGCAGTGCTGTATAACTACTTCACTCACCCTTCAGTTCAACCAGCAGGATCAGAGCCTGTGAGCTGTCGTCTCACACACAGCCTGATTGCCTGCATTATAAGTTATAGCACCGAGCAATGAGAAATGCTTGACACTCGAGTTGGCTTCAAGCTTATAATGCAGTGGGTTAAATTCATCCCTGGAGTAATAAAGTTCTCTTTAAAGAATTTATCCCAGGGATGAGTTTGGTTTGGGGTGTTAGTGCCATAACACACAGCTTCTGGCCTTGGATTGCACTAGTCATCCCAAAACATGTATCCTTCGGGGCGCAAATTTAGGTGTGAAACATCATTTGTTTAACATTCTTCTTGATATACAAAAACAGTCTGTCATGATATTACTGTTTCATCAGAGCCAGCAGAAGCAAATGCATGAGATCTTAAAACACCTGAGCCAGCAGGATGAGAAGAACAAGGAGTCTCAGCAGAGCCTCGGACAGCAGTTGAACAGCGAGACTCAGAAACAGAGCTGTCTCATAGAGCAGCTCAAACAGATGGTGGCTGAACGAGAAGCCAAGGTGAAAGAGCTGGAAGAGGAGGTTGGGCAGCTCACGCTTCAGGTAAACCTATCAAAAGAAATGAACTATCAGAGCAACTCCTTGGAAAGCTCTCTCCCTGTTTCTAAACACGCCGCCCTCCCATGTTGTTTGAGACATTTGCTGGCTCAGCCTACCAGCACCTGCCCACTGTGACAGCTCCAACTAACGCCAGGGTGATCTAACAGGGAGACTCAGACTTTCTTTGACACTGGTGCGAGCCGTTTCCTCAAATCATTTGCACAGCAGAGATGATGTGAATGTAAACTGACATCAAAGCTTTGCAACGTGCTCCACAAGCTGCGTTACAGGGACTGAAAAATAGCAGGCAAACCACATTCAGCCTCTCTGAAAATGGGAGGGAGGATAGCCCAAGGGTAAAAGTACCAGCCGGGAACCTGGGACACCCAGGTTCCCGTCCCTGCTCTGGCACTGACCTCTCACATGACCTTGAGCATGTCACTTAGACTGCCTCAGTGGGACCCCTGGAAGAAGTGGGCTGGTCAGTTGTAATGTACAGTTCCTCTACCACCATTGACACCCATGCTGCTTTGGGCTGATGGGCACTGAATGAATGGTGTGGTGGAAACTAGACAACTCAGAAAAATTCTAGGGCAGAGGGACAGCAGTCATTAACTGGCACATGTGTAAAGAAAAGGCGAGGGATGTTGAGATGAGAAGCAACTCCTTTCTGGTCTATTATGTTAATCTGCCTCGAGGTCTCGTACGACATGGGAGCAGCAGAAAAGGCCTCAGTGTCGAGAAACCCAAGTTTGATTCCCTTCTCCATCAAAGGCTTCTGGTATGACCTTGGGCAAGTCACTTAAAGGGCAGATGCTTAGTGTACTTAGGCACCTAACTCCCATTGATTGCAATGGGCATTCTTTGCTTATGTACTTTTAAATAAATAGGCTTCAGCCGCTGGGTCTTTCAATCTCGATCTGTAAAAAAGGGGTTGTATCACTTTCCTTGTGCCACTGCAGTGTTGTAAGAATAAATACATTCAAGACTATGAGGTGTTAAGGCGCTACAGTGATGAGGGTCATAGAGGTACCTAAGTTAGGTAGAACTGGGGCAGAGCACAGATAAACTTTGATCAGGATCAGGTTTTCAGTCGACCCTGAGCGGACCAATAGTTTGGCATGAAACTGGCTTTGTTTGAGGTTTTACATGCGTTTGGGAGGGGGTTGTTCAAATAAGTTTCTGCAAGGGAGAGAACCAAAGAACAAATTCCCACGAAACCCGTCATGTTAAACACCCTGGGAGATATATGGCTGTATCCATCTGAACACAGAACAGTTATGGGTGTAGTTCTGCTCTGCAACCGAGCCAAAGTTGTACAAAGCACAGCTGGCTTTAAAATCTTCTCCAGCAGCATCAGAAGAAAGAAGCCACTGAGGAGGGCAGTCCAGATGTTTCGGACTCGCTGTCCTCCGAGCTCTCAGAAGATGCAAGTTTTACTCTAATCAAGTCACCAGCCTCCGGCGGTGATCATGTTGGGAGGATTGTGTCTGCTCGGTAAGAAAAATTTAATTGAAATCTTTAAAATTGATATGAATTATTCAAAGGCATATTTTTTTTCCTGCCAGCGATTCCAAACCACAAATGCAGCCTCTGGAGGATTATAGCAGATCATTTGCAGCGTATAGGAATCTCTTAATCATATTCTCTCTTAGACATTTGTCCTGGGACACAGAAAGATACACTTAGATGCAGCCATTACTACATTTGGCATGTTTGTAATACAGCTCGTTCTCTTTCTCTGGCTCAGATAATATTCATGCGGTTAGCTTAAGTGCCTTCGGTTTTTTTCCCTGAGAGAAACTGAGCATCTAATGGGCACAGCTCTGAAAGCGGGATGGCAAATTAATATGAAGCTCTGGTTTAGATATGCTATAAATCAGTAGTGTATTATTTAAATCAATAAAACTGTCTTTGTAGGATTTCTTCACAGAAGAGTAGAAGGTTCAAAAAACATCTAGTAAGTTGGTTTTCTTGCATTCCTCCAACCAGCGATCAAAGACTGTCATCTTGTTTACCCTGGTCTAATACCAAAGTCAGTTAGTCAGTCCGCACATGCATATTTGTCGAGCCATGCGATAGCATCCTCAGTGGCCATGTGCAGTTCCAGGACCACACGGCAGAGACCCTCTGATATGAGAAATGGAGATTGGCATTACCACTAAACAAGTTCCTTATCACAGATCCTACTCTCTCCCCACCCAGCTTAAACCTGCCATCCCACGCCGTCAGTGGGCCTTGCTGAATAGGTGGTGGACAGGGCACGGTCTGTGTGCAGCCAGCCTGCACCATTGAGGTCTTTGTGACAATCCAGACTGTAGCTTATGCCAAATGTAGGTCCTGATCCTCACTTATACAAAGGCCGCTCTACAAGGCCCATCAGTGCTTTAATGCCAATGCTTAAAGCAGCTTTAAGTGACAGGAAAGTACTTCTATACCTACTTAAAATCCCTCTGTACTTTTAGTGATATATAGTGGCTGTAGTATATTCGAGAATGAAACCCAGTGTGCAAGGCTTGTCTTATGGGAAGCAAACCCACTTTCCAAAGTTAAAGTTGCAGCCAGCTCCCGTTATATAAACCCATTTTATCACTCCTCTGGCCTTGACTTGGAAAATGAATTTGGCCTCAAAATTGTTGAATTCACTCTGAACACCGTCCTCAATGTTTGACGGAAGTGCAGCCACCTCTGTTTGAATTCTAGGTCATTACAGCATTACCCTGATTTAATCCTTTTGTCTCATGTTGTTTCTCTGTAGCTCCAAAACCTGCTGTTGGCTTTGCAGGCTTTCCCTTTGATAAAATCTCCTTGCCAACTCGTATACCAGTTTTACTGGAAGCAAATGTGTCTAAATGTAGTTAAACAAAGCTGTGCGCAGTATTTGCAGGTCTGCTCCTGATTGCATTAGTGTCAATGGGCGTTTGGGTTTTTTTTAGCCATTGGATTGAACAGATGCAGGAACAGACACTATATGTGGGGTTTTGTTGTGAACACCTTCATCTTGCCTTGGTTTATTATAGCTTAGAAAAAACACAGGGACCCTTCTTGGACTGGCCATTGATAAAGTGCTTCCCCTCACTCCTGCTGATGCAGGCTTTGTGGGCTAGTGTTTCTCACAGAGTCCTAGCCTCTCCATAGTCGTGGCCCCAGGATTTTCATTCTCCCACATGCCCCTTCTCACAAGGCATCCTTGTGCTTTCTGGTAGTGAGTCCCTGTCTTACCCACTAACGCTTCTCCTAGAAATTGCATCCAATCTGCTAGGAGGGCAAACAACATAACTGGGCTAATAAAGGTTGCCCATCTTTGGTCAAGAGCTTGATAAAGGCACCTAAAGGTAAAGCATTAATTTTAGCCTTGTATTCATGGCTAACACAGCCAGGCAATTAAATACATCTATCATTAGGAGTGCACCGAACGAGGCAGAGCACAGCAAGAACTGTTATTAGGATGATCAACGTGCCTTTAACTATAATTGATTGATGAACCATGTATTCCTTTTGATTTAAAATGTTTAAAAGAAAACCTTTACTTGGCAGAGGAGATAAAATGAGAAATGCTATAAATAGAAGCTAACGCTCTGGGTAAGTCTAAAACTGAGAGCCTTCATCTGAGTGAAAACGCTGTTGGGCAGAAAGCAGGGTAGCTTTGCGCCTTGTAGACTAACCAAAACAGAGCTGTAACCAGGTGGGACCCCAGAGACACCTGAAATTGTGCGTTATGACATCCTATTTGCTACAGATGGGAAGAGAATCACTTCAGCTGCTCTGATTTTTTTGTCCAGTAGAGGACAGCGATTAACACAGCCACAGCAAGGGTGACAGGCAGCACCAGGCATAATATTACAATGCTGATTTATTGTTACCCGTGCTTGCTTCCTCACAGCACCGTGTCTAAGATGGGGCATACGCTTGTAGAATCTGCAGCTACTAAGCCTTCGTCTCCAAGTAATAACATCACACAGGGCAGGTACGTATACAAGCAAAGGAGCATTTCCTCCCCACCCAGCAGGGATTAAACTGCATCAGCAAGAGGTCTTGATCTTTGTAGCCAAAATCTTCCCTCTGTGTCCTCTCTACTTGTCAGCATGAAATTGTTTAGGCGCAGACTAGCTCATCCTTTGCTTGATTAATTGTTCACAATAGAGGATGGACTTGTATCCACTTAAGATACCTCCTCGAAGTCATGCTCCACAAGCGTCTCCCAAATATTCTTGTATATGTGGATAAGTATGCATATATCCACATAGAGCAAGCTCGTGAGGTCCCTTCCGGCCCCTAACTTCTACGTGAGGAAACCGAATATAAAGGAAGCGCGTGGCCCTGGAGTACACGGGAAAAGTGGCCTCTTCCATCGGATTGCAGGCAAGAGAATTCAAATCCCCACGCACCGATTGATGTTCAAAGCAGGTCCACTGGAGAAAGCCGTTACCAGCTGCAGATCATTGTAGATCTTCCCAAGGCTTTGCAGCATACACAGGCAGGCACTGGAATGGGAGTAGGGCTTGGCCAGTTGATCAGTGTTGGAAGGTTTTACAGAGGAGATTGGATTAGGAGAAAAAATATTGAGACGTGAAATGCCCTTCTGGGGAAGTCCACACTTGTTTTATTTGTATAACTCACTTGGGGATGGTGTTTGGAGCCGAGGGGGCAGATGAGATGGGGAAAGGTTGGTTCAGCGATCTGGTTCTATGCTTAGCCCTCCTGCCAATACATCTTTTAAGTCGCATCTTTGTTTCAGCTTTTTGCAGTCATGGCAAGTGAAACAGATTGCTTAAGTTCTCGCTGTTTCTTAGGATTGCTGACACTGACAGCCCAGATCTGAAAGCGCTGCAAAAAGAGATCACAGAGTACAAGGCTCTCCGCCAGGCTGCTGAAGTGGAAAGAGGCAGGCACACAGAACTAATCGCTGTGTTGCAGAAAAGGTATCAACTGATTTTGCTGTTTCCTTTCGAACATTTGAGAGTCTCACACATACTGCATGCTATATGCCGTTGGGGTGATACTTTTCTTCCAATAGGTGCTGCTTTCTTTGAACGCTTACTCTCGCCAAATAGTGTTTTTCCTTTTCAGGTCTCTTGGAACAAAAGGACAGAAAAAAACAACCCAGCATCAATTTTATTAAGCCCAGAACTTGTTGCCTTTGTGGGTGTTTAGGGTAATACGAACGCCATAATGTTATTGCAAGCATCAGTAGTGAGAGCTGTGATCAAAATTATAGTCAGATTTCCGTTCCAAGGCATTTTGGTTTTCACAAGCTCATAAAGCTTGCCCAGCAAGTCTCCTTCTGGCTAAAATTTCCCACACTTGCCACCAGCAAAATAGTGACTTTTATCTTTTTTAAATGAAAGTTTGAATAAACTCCAAGCATCTGTTTTAGTTATAGAAGAGTGCAGGAAACCAACCCTTTCCTCTTTAGACAAGTTTAGCTGGGGTCATCTAGACCCAGCGCTCTTTCCTGCCTATGCAGGGGGTCGGACTCGATGATCTATTGAGGTCCCTTCCGACCCTAACATCTATGAATCTATGAATCAATGAAAGTTTCAGGTGCAGGTTTTGCCCTGAAACAAAATCCAGAAGATCTTCTTGTCTTCATGAGATATTTCCATCCCTTCATTTTTTAATGCATTAGGTAAATATTTTGCTTGCTTGACTTTATTTTACACTGGATATCTTGCTTCACTTACCTGGATTTCAGCTTGTGCAGGTAATTATGGGCATTAATGTATATATTTTATATCTACTGCTTCATAAGGACCTGCACAGATACTATCCACACACGTACGCGCACACACTTTTTACTCATGCTTGCACTCCCACTGATGTCATTGGTACTGTGTAAGTAGGTAAGGATCGGGCCTTGAAATATGAAATAATAATGATAGGAAGCACCAGACTCAACAAAATTCACTGCTAAAGGTGAAATGCCATGGAGCGGCAACTCAGCAGTCCCACAGGCATCCCAGATTTATCCTGGGCTGTCGCAGGGGTTATCACAAAAATCTCACAAAATTCACAATCTCTGTAAGGCTCCAGGGTAATACAATGCTGTTCCACTAATATTTTAACATGGATATATAGAAAAAATAAGCCTTTGCTTAGAGCTGAGGCACTAAAACTCATGTTAACAAGGTGTAGAACAGTGGAAGGGATTAAAAAAGTGGAGCTTGCATATGATGAAAAGCTGGAAAAAAGACCCTGATTTAGGACTCCACTCTGCAAACACTTACCACTGGTTAGAGCACCTACCCATTGAAGTAACAGGCTGTGACACTGGGAAGGACCAGAGTTCAAGGGCAGCTCCGATCTGAGTTTTTGTCAATGCAGGCTGTCACAAAACCTAATCAGCCCCTGTTTTCCACCGTTTCCCTAACACAGAGCTAGGGATCACTTAATGCAATGAAAAGCAGCGATTTCAGAACCGCTAAAACGAAATACTGTTTCATGCAGCACATTGCCAGCCTGTAGAAATTCACTGCCACAAGAGGTCAGAGTGTCTCTTTCTATGGCTGCAGTTTTAAAAGAACAATATAATTTTATGACTCTTATAATGTTTTTAGCTATGTAAGCTGAAAGAGTAATAAAAAGACTCCCATCTCTGGCTTCGGGAATCTATAGCAATCACCCGCGGGGGGCTGGAAGTAAGTTTCTCTCCCTTCACACAGCACTGTACAGTAGGTGAAGTTTATTGTTTCAATCATCTGGTCTCGGCCCCTGCCCTAGATATGGTGCACTGCTGGTCTGATGAAGTCCGGCAGCTGCTGCGGTTGTGTCAGAGTGGACACGATAGGAGGTAACTCTGAAATAAAGACATGTTCCCACTGTAGGTCCTTCAACAGCTGAGCACTGAAGTAGCCATGACTGCTTTCCTAATAGCAGCCTGGTGCATAGTTCAGCCTTTGCCATAAATTCTCTGGAGGCCTCATCGCAGTCCTTCAGTGTGCTCCTTAGCAGCTGAGTTTATAGAAGGTGCTACTCAGCTGCTCTTCATTTCGCACATTATAAAGGAGACGTCTGTGGAAATCATTGCTATTTATATGGAAAGACAGGATGACTCTCTGCTTGAGGACAAAGTAATCACTTTGCCTCGGTGCTATTCCAGCGCATTGAAAAATGGAAGCAGTTTATTTCTGCTGTAATAACTGATCTGCCCTCAGCATCAGTAATTGTTTGTTTGGGAAATTTATGAGTGCCCATTGCTAAGGGACCTGGGTAGCTTCACTCAGTAATAATTATGTACAAGTCAGAAACTGTGCTGACTACTTAACTCCATGTTGCCCATGGAGAGGCTCCATCTTAGATGAATTGCACTGGAGCATCTGCCCCTGGGGGCATGGCCAAGTCTCCTATTCATGTCACTGAAAGCTGGGGCAGGATTTGAAACCAAGATGCAGTAAGGTGGGTTCTTTATGCATAAAGAAATACTGACGTGTATTCAGACTCTGAACTATTTTGAACCCCAGGGTGGACGAATGCCACAATCAAGTTTTGGAAGCTGAGAAGAAGCTTCAAGAAGAACAACGTAGATCGGTCATTTTGGAGCAGCAGCTCGAGAAACTGAAAATGGCACAGAAACCTCCTACCAGGAGCAAAGCCGGTGAGGCGCACCACTTTGCTCGGGAGCATCGTCTCTATTACTTCCACATTCAGCAGCCAAGGAGAGAGAGACATAAAACAGCTCCAAGGAACGGCACCAAGAGCAAAATCCTGGCCTTACTGAATTATTCAAACTTTGTCTTTGACTCCAGTGAGACCAGGATTGCACTCACAGCACATAAGGCTTTGCAGGGTTGGACCCTCAGGGAGGAATTTGATGTTGCAGTACGTTGCCACCATTTCTGCCACTGTGTTTGCTTCACTCTCTTGCTCTGAAAGATTTGGTTGAAGGTTAAATTAAGAGCAGAACTGAAGGATGCATCCCGATTTAAGGCCTGTCAAGGTCTATGAAAAACTATGGCTGGTGATGAAGTAATTAGATCTTGGGTAATTTATTACCTCTAGAACACGATAATCTCCTGCTATAAATATGAAAGGCTCACTAACACAGTTAAAGAAGCAAAATTCACTGCGGAACGTAAAATTTTTATTTCCTTGATCAGAGCCTTTTATTGGTTATGGACTGTGGTCCTGTGAAATATCTAAAGCTATAAAATTGTACATATTCTTAAGGAAACTTTTACAGTAGTTTCCCTTTCTTTAAATACTCTGATAAAGTAATAAGACATTCGTTATATAAGAGGGATCACAACTTCCATTTGACAAGTCACTCAGCTGCTTCTGGTCTGGCTGGCTTGCATTTAGGCCTTATGATCCATACATGCTGCACATCTCCCTCGCTTCCCTCCAGACATTTCCTTGTCATTCTTTAGGCCCGAAGCAGGCTGCATGGCTGGAAGGGAGAAAGGGATGGTACTGCAGCCATATAGCGTTTCTCTGTGGTTCAGCTGATCTCATGCGTTTGGTGTGCCTAGACAGGTCCATACTGGTAGAAAGTTCTCCAGTCCATGCAGGGAAGTGTTGGTTATTCACTGGGAGCTAGATTCACATGGGGACTTCCCTTAAGTATTGCATGGTCTATCTTTTAGTTGCTACACCGCCTTTTAGCATTAATGACCAGAACTGGATAACTTCCCTGTTACAATACTTGGGGAGAGTTAGGCAGCTAAGAGAGTGGGGTTCATAGAAGCCAGCATGCTGAGTGGGGACTACCTGTGCTATCTAGCAGGAAGTGCCAAGGCCAGGGGCACAACTATTTTGAAGCTGTTTCATTTTTAATAAAATACTTAACTATTCATTAGAGCAGGGACTGGAACCTGAGTGTAGCAGGCACGTCCCCTAGCCACCAGGTTATAGGGTCACTCTTGTGTTCTGTGAATGTTTAATTATTGATGTAAAACGGCATAACTGAAACAGGAGACTCACCTCAGAATACCCTGTCACCCAGGAGTTAGAGCATCTCCTCTAATTTGTCAATTGGTCATCTTCTGTGGCTCCGGGGTTTATGTGCCAAACTAATGATGGGAAGGCTGTGAGGTTAAGGCTGGGTGTGGGCCACTGAGATTCAGTCTGAAAGCACAGTCTTGATTGATTTGAGAATTTTTTGCCAGCAGATCAAGGGCAGTGATTCTTCCCCTCTATTCAGCACTGGTGAGACCACATCTGGAGTCCTGTGTCCGGTTTTGGGCTCTTCACTACAGAAAGGATGTGGAAAAGTTGGAGAGAGTCCAGTGGAGAGCAATGAAAATGGTTGGGGGATGTGATTTATAAGGAAAGGCTGAGGGAATTGGGCTCATTCAGTCTGGAGAAGGGAAGACCGAGGGGGATTGAATAGCAGCCTTCACCTCCCTGCAGGGGGGCTGCAAAGAGGCTGGAGATGGACTGTCCTCAGTGGGGGCAGATGACAGGACAAGGAGCAATGAGCTCAAGCTGCAGCAAGGGGTGCTTAGGGTAGATATTAGGAAAAGCTTTCTCACTAGGAGGGTAATGAAGCACTGGAACAGGTTCCCCAGAGAGGTGGTGCACTCTCCATCCTTGGAGGTGTTTAAGACCCGGCTAGACAAAGCCTTGGCTGGGATGATGCAGTTGGGGCTGGTCCTGCTAGGAGCAGGGGGTTGGACTAGATGTGACCTCCTGAGGTCCCTTCAACCCTCATTTTCTATGATTCATCTCTGGTCTATGGCAGGCAGTGGAGGGATTTGAATTTGAATTTGGGTATCTCAGCTGCTATGTGAGCATATTAATCCCTGGCTGGGAGGAAGGTGGGGTAGAGGGTGGTGTTACCATTGCTTCCATTCAGTGTGGGATGAGGATTCAACCCTATGGGGCAAGAAGCAAGTACCTGCCTTGTTTGTGAATCCTGAAGGGGCTTAAGTGTGAGATTGTCACTGGGCTGCTTGGCCTTGTCAGGACTAAGGTGAGCCTCTGCATTCCCAGGGGTATAAATATAGGCACCTAAGGGGTTGAGAAGATGCTGTGTGGGGTTTTGTGAGTGCCAGTGGCACATATGTCCCATATAAAAATATGCAGTTACTCTTTTTCATTAGAGTTCATGCCCTAGTTGGATCTCTGCAGTGCTAAAATCCCATCATTTGAAGGAGAGTTAAACAGTGTTGCTGATCACTTGTGACTGCACAGATCACAGCGCTCTTCAGTGTAGAGGTGTTACCCTGTTTGGCACCCACTTGCATTTCCCCTGCAGTCTCAGAAAGCAGCAGTATCCTGCATATCGTGTCCCAAGCCATTTTTGCTTTGTTGTTTTGGGATAGTTAGAGCTCAGGGTTTCACCTCGAGGTGTCAGTCATTTGTAGTTGGATGAAGCACGGCCAATTTGGATTCCATATACTATAGCATACATACCCATGCATAGATTAAACCGTAAGATCACCCTCCTTGTATATCCCAAGACCAAAATACAGTGTTGTGTTATAGATACATCTAGATATAAAGATATCTATATCTGTAAGGGGAAAAAATGGTACCTAAATCCCTAACTTGAATGGGCAGTAACTCGAATCACAAGCTCTCTTCTTTTAAAACTGTACTTGCTGTGAGCAAGAACGCTTCTGAACAAGAAGTGAATCTACAAATCTTTAAAATACTCCTTTAACAGAGAACTTAGCTTTTCCTAATGCTGTTAATACCTGATAATTGAAGAAATAAAGATAAATGAAAGCCCGTGGTATAAAGGAGGCGATGGCCCCACTAATTAGCATAATGCTTAACATGCTAAATTGGGAAGAGCTGATCTAATTGTGAATGCTAATGTTTTCATTCTCTCCCAGGCAGAGATTGTAGGTGCTGATGCTGGCAGAGGACTTTGGCTCCACACACAAGAGCAATCCTCTTGTCAGGATCTAAAATTGCTCCTTTTTTCTCTTTTTCAAAGAAAAAGTGCTCAGGGAATACAGAATGCAAAGCACAATCCAAATGATTTACAGGGAAACACTCCCGTGTTTGATCAATTGCCTAAAATAAAATAGCAGGACAAAGGCAGCTTCTCATTTACACAAAGTCTGTAGTTTTTTCTCATATGTTTTATTTCTTTCCCCACTCACCAATTACTGTATTTCGAACAGGAAGGCCAATATATTTCAGATTTCCCCTGGGTGAGTTGCTCTGTCTGTTTGAATTGGTGGGAACAGCACTCTCTCATGTTGATACAGGTCCCAAATGCAGGAATGTATCTTTAATAAAGAAAGCACTTGAGCACGTGCCTCTCGAGAAGCACCTCAGTGGGTGCAATAGGGTCATAGTGTTGCTGTAGGATGTTCCGGGGAATATGTGATAAGCAAAATGTATTTAGTAATATCTGCTACGTTCCCAGACCTGAGGAAAGGCACTTAGTCTCTCCCAACTATATAACTGTGTTATGACTAACGTCTCTCCCAGCTATAGACCTGATCCAGTAAAAGATATTACCAAGCAAACCTTGCTTCTCAGCAGGCATAATGGAGATCTCCACCTCGGGTATTTATAAAACACTGTCACTATAGCCATGAGTGGGAAATACAATTACAAGAAAGATGAGCATCAAAATAATCTCATTCAACTGTTTACACGGCCCACAGCTTTAGCCACTTGCGCTTTGTTTCATATAAGTGTTTTCTTCCCTAATTAGCAGCCCCCCACCACCTCCCCGCTGAAATACAGTCTCATTCAGTTTGTAATTGTGCTGAAAGGAGATTAGAGCAAAGCAATCTTCCCGGTGTGTTTGCAGCCTGCTCGTGCCTGCACGTGGAGTGAGCAGGCCCCTTCCCTTTTCTCTGTCCCCAGAGGTGTATGCTGCTGTTGACTTCACAGGGTTGCCTTTGCATTTACTAGCCCTCCATGCTATGATTGTGTCCGCAGGTCAGTCTGCAAATACCGCCAAACATACCTCGACTGTGGGCGACAGGAAAGATGTGGCTGCAGTTCAGTTCTCCGAGGTGCCCCTGGAGTCTCAAATAGAAGAGCTGAGCACAAGGTATGGCTCCTCTTTCCTTATCCTGGGTCTCTCTTGGCTTCCTCCAAAACTCAGGACCTAAGCTTAGTCTCTGTCCTCTTATAGATTAAACCAGCCCTGCTTGTAGAGCTAAATCCTATTTCTGTCTGGGCATGTCTACATGAGATGCTAACCGCACAGTAGCCTAATAACACTGCACAGTAGCGTGCCAGGCAAAAACCATGCTAATATGCTGCTGCACAATAGTATCAGGCTATGGTACAGTAAGTAGCCAGCGCAGTAGTGCAAATTACTGCACATTGATTTCTTACTTGGTTAACCAGGTACTAAAGTTAATACACAGTAACTACGGTGCATTAATGAACATGTAGATGTGCCCTCTATGTATCGAAACGGCAAGCAAGTAGCCACATAATGGTAGTTTGGGCACCATTTATATGCAATATGTGATTCGACTCTGGGCATACACACGAGCATGTTCAGCAGAGCTGTCCCGTGGCCAGCAGCTGTGTGACAGAACAGGATCCAAGCATAAGGCTGGGAAAAGTCCTGAGGTTTTAGCTGAGCAAAAACTCACAATGAGTGTATGTCAGAGACGGGAGGAGGAGGAGGAAGACGGCAGTGATCTTCCCACCTTTTATCACAATAGCCTTGTGGGTAGAGCTCTTGTATCTCCTGCTCTGTGGGTCAGTTCAATAACTGACCCCCCAACCCAGAGGAGAATTAAACCTATATCTCCTGCTTCCTAGCAAAGCACTTTAATCACCAAGCCACTGCCTAGACATCCCCTGAGCCCCTATCTAGCTGGCCTACTGAACAACCAAGAGAGGGAGAAATGTGGGGCCAGGAGGAAGAGAGCAAGCCAGAGGTTGTGTGTCTCTGTGAGAGGGTGAAGACCCTGAGTTATAACCCAGGCCTCTGCTCCTACTGGGACAGAACCACCCCCAAGAATTGCAGTGGGCACAGATTCACCCATGTCACTTCTGGCAGGCATACGTCCCGGGTGGTCCTGTTTCACCATGGGGGGAGAAGCAGAATCCCAAACAGTGCAAAAGTGCCAACACCAGCAGCGCTGCGGCTGCGTGCATGCCGATTTAGTCCTCGGTGCTTGTGTTCTTGGGGCTGGATCCTCACTTGGGATAAATCAGCACAACTTTATTGAATGTTGGCACAGAAGATGTGAGAGATACCAGGAAACAAAGCATTAGGATATTCCCTTCTGTCTCAGAGAGCTGGGGAACAAGTGTTGAAAAGCCTGATAGTCCTTGCTGCAGTAAAATTACCAGCAAGCATGTGTATGGAGGCTTGCTTTCCCCCAAGGCCAAAGCGCACTTTCTATTTGCTCCGACCCTCCACAGTGAGACTGAACATTTCCTTTTGTGTGCGCGTAGGCTTCTGATCCAGGTGGATGAAAACGAGGCACTGAAGAGAGCCCTGGAGAGCACTGCAAGAATGAAAGAGGAGGATTTCAAACTGTACCAAGAGACAATGAGCCAAGTCAAGGAGATCTTTCTACAGGCACTGCGGCAACAGAAGCAAGAGAAGAATTAAAGCAGGGCATTCAAACTCCCTTGGTCTGCAGCAGGAAGAGAGTCTAAGAATAGATCCAGTGAATTGAAATGCAGGAGCAGTCTCATTAGCCGTTTCCCCAGAACGTTTAATTTTTTAGCACATACAGGAGAGGGTGAGAAACACTGTTGAACCTTACATTATAAAGGGACTCTTTAAATTTCAGCAGATCCCCAGTTGGAAGAGTTAGCAAGATCTCAGCCCATGACCGTCCATGCAAGTTGGATGCACTTTATCAGAGCTCCAAGGCCACAGCCCTAATTATGAGCAAAACTTCCCTGGGTTGCACTTGGCCTCTGCTGGATAAGACCCCAGGTCTAAAATGCTCCTATTTTAATCTACAAATATAGAACCTGTTTCATATTAAGCTGTTTCTCAATATCTTCTTTGTAAACCATGCAGGGATTAAGCTATATTCTTTTAATTAAATAGACACAGTCGCAGTCAGCATGCAGATACCTGTCTGTCTACAGCTTTTCCGTAGCAGCTGTCTCCGTGCTCCTGCGTGTTGCCAATGCAGCCAAGTGAGAGTGGTCTTCTGCTCTTTGGCCACCCTGGTCTTTTGAGTGTTTTGGGTCTCCGACCAAGTCTGTTGGGGCTGGCAAGCTACTGCCAAAAATGAGTCAAGCTTTAACTGCCTCTGGTAGCCCATCCCACACCTGCTATACCTCAGATGAGGACACAAATATTTCTGGCACTTCTTCATTTGCCTTGGAGTGTGGGTTTTGCTCCTGGGAATCAACAGCAACAAAGCCCCTGGAAAAAGAGGTAGCACCACTGGCCCTGGCCCTGTATTAATACAACTAGGGGTCATGGTATCTCTGTCTGCTATTCTACTAGCCAAGAAAAGTCACATCGGCTGCAATCCAGTTAGGCAATGAGCTGGGTCCTGCCATCAAGGAGCCAACAGATTTTTACCAGCAGAAGGGCAGCCCAGCAAGTGGGCAACAAGTGACTTTTTTGGATAGCGCTGCTGCGTTCCTCATGTTGAAAGCCTTTTTAAAAGCAGCGCGTCTTGCCTGAGAGCTTGTGAGTGTCTCTCTGATGACTGATGTTTCATTCCATGAAGCTGAAGTTTGCAAAACACTGTTCAGAGCGGTCAGTGGAAAAGGGACTGCACTCGCATGCATTTCGGAAGCACCTCCTTTTCCTGGCATTAGGTGGTTTCTTCAGCTGAAGGGAGGCTGCAGAAACAACAGAAGGCAGTGGGCATGGAGCTATTCCAGATGTAGGGATAGCAGAGTCTGCCCTCACTAAGTCTCTAGCTCTCATAGTAAGGGGTAGAGACTGCACCCAAAGAAGGAATTCTCCAGTGAAGCCCCAAAGGTTTTTGGCCCTAGGAAGAGGCCTCGCATTAGGGAAAAGTTATTTTTCCCCAGCCCCAAGGCCTTTGGAAGATGATCCAAGAAAGAAAATGCAAGTTCTCATTTGTAAAGTGGCATGACCTAACGTGGGCAATTTTAAATAGCTCAGGCCAGATTCTCAGCTAGTGTAAGACCAGAGATGCCTCCATCACCAGGGTTGTGTCAATACTCCTCTGAAAGCCAAAAGTCAAATTTCCAAACATGAACCGCAACAATTTCTAGTTGTGGGGAAAAGTCCCGGTGCATTGTTGGTGACAAAGCATGACTGACGGTCTCATTTTTCCTAGATCGAGTTTCTTCAGAACATCCAATACACAGAGAAGCAGCAGAGAGGGAGTGCAAACCCCATGTCTGCTTGCAAAGGCCCGAGACTCTCCTGAGCCACTCCAACCAGGGTTGGCTGTTAGCTTGACCAAAGCAAAGCAAATGGGGGATGAGTCTCTGGAGCTTAGGAGCTGACTCTTTCGCTTTCTAGCACCAAAATAGGCAGCAAACACTAATGGCCAGATCCTACACTTGATCTTAGCCACAAGGCGGGATTCCTCCCTTCTACTCTGGCAGAAGACCAGCGTGGCTGACCGGAGAACTCTTCAGTAAACTAAGTCACAAAAAGGAAGCTTATAAGAAGTGGAAACTTGGACAGATAACTAGGGAAGACTATAAAAGCATTGCTCGGGCATGCAGGGATGAAGTCAGGAAGGCCAAAGCGCATTGGAGTTGCAGCTAGCAAAGGATGTAAAGGGGAACAAGAAGGGTTTGTTGGTAGCAAGAGGAGGATCAGGGAAAGTGTGGATCCCTTCCTGAATGGGGGAGGCAACCTAGTGACAGAGGATGCAGAAAAGGCAGAAGTGCTCAATGCATTTTTGCCTCAATCTTCACAGACAAGGTCAGCTCCCAGACTACTGCACCGGGCAGCACAGTTTGGGGAGGAGGTGAGCAGCCAACAGTGCTGAAAGAACAGGTTAGGGACTGTTTAGAAAAGCTGGGGCTGGATGGGATGCACCCAAGGGTGCTGAGGGAGATGGCTGATATGACTGCAGAGCCACTGGTCATCATCTTTGAAAACTCATGGTGATCAGGAGAGGTCCTGGATGATTGGAAAAGAGGCAAACATAGTGCTTATATTTAAGAAAAGGAAAAAGGAGGATCCAGGGAACTACAGACCAGTCAGCCTTACCTCAGTCCCTGGAAAAATCATGGAGCAGATCCTCAAGGAACCCATTTCTAAGCACTTGGAGGAGGAGAAGGTGATCAGGAACAGTCAGCATTGATTCACCAGGGGCAAGTCATGCCTGATCAACTTGACTGCCTACTAGGATGAGGTGACTGGCTCTGGATGCAGGGAGATTGGTGGATGAGGTTGCTAAAAGCCTTGATTTTAGCAAGGGTTTTGATACGATCTCCCACAGCATTTTTGCAGGCAAGCTAAGGATGTCTGGGCTGCATGAATGGACTGTAAGGTGGATAGAAAACTAGCTGGAGCACCGGACTCAGAGAGTAGTAATCAATGGCTTGATGTGTAGCTGGCAGCCAGTATCAAATATCAAGTGCCCCAGGGGGAGAAGTAGATACGCTAAAGCGTAGGGCTAGGATTCAGAGTGACCTAGACAACTTGGAGGATTGGGACAAAAGGAATCTCCTGTGTTCAGTTTTGGGCCCCCCACTACAGAAAGGATGTGAACAAACTGGTGAGAGTTCAGCGGCAGGCAACAAAAATGGTGAGGGCTGGGGGACAGGACTCGTGAACAGAGGCTGAGGGAACTGGGCTGATTTAGTCTGGAGAAGAGAAGACCGAGGGGGATTGAATAGCAATTTGTCAACTCCCTGCAGGGGGTTGCAAAGAGGATGGAGCTGGACTGTTCTCAGTGGCGGCAGATGACAGGACAAGGAGCAATGGGCTCAAGTTGCAGCAAGGGAAGTTGAGGTTGGATATTAGGAAGAATTTTCTCACTAGGAGGGTAGTAAAACACTGGAACAGGTTACCCAGAGGTGGTGGACTCACCATCCTTGGAGGTTTCTAAGACCCGGTTAGACAAAGCCTTGGCTGGGATGATCTAGTTGGAGATGGTCCCACTTTGAGCAGGGGGTTGGACTAGATGTGGCCTCCTGAGGTCCCTTCAGCCCTAATTTTCTGTGATTTCTATGAATGGGATCAAAGCAGCAGCTGCTTGATGCTAACATTTGCCCCCCCTCTGGCAGCTTCAGGTAGCACATAGGACCAGTCTGACAAGCCATTGCATCTGCCATCTCAAGTAAGACTTAGACCAGGGATTCTCAGCCAGGGTGCCAGAGTACCCTGGGGTGCCACCAGATCCTTCGAAGGGTGCTGCAAGGAGATAAGCAGATAAGCTAAGTAGATAAACACAGGCTTATTCGTACCTGACAGTCCCCCACCCCCGTTGCCTAGCCCGTCTGCAAGGAGGTAAGCACTGCAATCCATAAATTATACTTTGAAATTGGTGCCACTCAGATCACAGATGTTATGGAGGGGTGTCTCAGGTCTAATCAAGGGTACCTTGAGTCCAGTGCAGGGTACCTTAAGTTTAAGAAGATTTGAGAGCCGTTGGCATAGACAACTCCCACGGCTGAGATGTGAATAATCCAACCCTGGTAGCTGCTTACCATGCAGAAGGAAGGAAGGACAGGCTCACAACAAGAAATCCTTCCTATTCTGAGACATCTGTGGTGGGGAGAAGGGGGAAATCAGCAACAGTAAGAAAAAAAAAAATTCCAGGGAGTTTGCTGGGCTACAGCAAGACCTTGCTGGGTGCAGAAACCTTTGGATGTGTCTGTATTCCTAATTCAAGCCTGTATCCTGCTCTGAGGGATACTGATCTTGCTTACACTGAAATGCAAATCGATAATAAACTACAGAAGCTGGTGCATCCGGACCCTGCACGCGAGAGGTGAAGCGACCGCCTTTCCCGGTTGGCGTTAAGAGCTTGTATCCTTTCCTGGTGCTGCCATAGCCAGGGTGGCCCAGGATCCAGCTGCATCATTGCCGCAGGGGAGATATGGGGCTGTCTTCGAGTGCTGCAGGAGCCTGCGCGACTGGAAGCACCAAGCTCTCGTAAATAAATTCAGCAATAACACGAACGTTAATATTTCATTAAATCGATCCTCGTCCCTGAAATACTGCAGCAGCTGTTTCATAGCATCATAGACACAAGCTTGTCGCATGTGTGTGTGTGTGTGTGCAAATAAAACTCTCCCCCTCCCCCAATAGGCATACACACCAGTGTGACTTGAGCATAAAACAATTCCCTGTCGGTTCCCCACACCGTTGTGACCATCACGCGATGCAGGGCAAGCGACAACCCAGCCCGTGAAGTGGTCTACAGATGCCTTCCTACTGCTTCCTTGCTAGAGTTCACATGAAAGCCATCCCGTCCCAGTATACGGTGAACACTCGTGTTTGCATAGTGCCTTACAGACGGGGTAAACCAGCCTGTCCCTCGCTCATCGGTCCCTACTCTTTTAGATAGGGAACCTGAAAATTCCTACAGCACATTAGAGAGGGTCTGAGCACAGGGCTGGATGCTAGGGCCTCCTGAATTGTAATCCCAACTCAATTAGCCTTGGCTGGTCATTGGGGCTGGGCAGGGGTAGGACTAGATGCGATTTATTGAGGTCCCTTCCAGGCCTCATTTTCTGATTCCTTGCATGGCCTCTGCTGCAGACTCCCCCATCTCCAGTAGCATGAGGATTGACTTACATTTGCAAACCCCTCTGACAAGGCAGACTACGTTGTCCTCTGGCCTGAACCCAGCTCCCGAGTATCATCATCCAGTCCTGGCTGTGCAACTCAAATGAGTTGGCAGGCCACGGCTGCTCATCAGGCCACCACAGCTGTGTATGCCCGAAGGCAATAGAAAACAGGGACTTCAGCAGTGGGTAAGTTGGGGCAAGAGGGGCATTAACCACCTGAGTTGTGGCACAGCGGCTTAAGAGCTGCCCCATGGGCCAGTTGCAGAGGTGGGGCCAGGGAAGCCCTGCAGGCTGGATGTCTCACCTCCG